TTTCCAGTGCGTTTATAAGAAGTAACAACTTTTTGGATCAGAGTATACTCTACTCTGTTTTGCATGGTACCATTATCCTGTTAATGGTCTCCATAGCTTTTCAACACTTTGCCCTTAATCTGAAGAATGAGGTGTGATTTCAAGCAGTTCAAGACCACATGGCATCATTTAGACACACAATTTAGAGTGTATGTGCCCTGCGTGATTTCCTGTATGCTGGAGTTAAGTGATCAGAAAGCAGCCTATATGAACAGTGGATTTTGCAGTGGAATAACTAGTTGAGATGTAAAATGTGTTTTTGTGTACTTTTTTATCAGTTCTAGAACAGGAACATACTGATAAGCACACCTAGGTTTATTAAGAGAAACATTCAATCACTCTTGTCTGAAACATGGGAATATCAGTGCTCATTTATTAGTAGTGAGTCATTGTAAATTGATTTCACAATACACTTTGCGATCATGGTTACCAGGCATAGTCTATGCAAACATTATATCCAGGATATAGGCTAAAGAAATTGTTCTGTTCACTTCAACTAGATTGTCTATATACAGTACCTGAGCCAGTAAAAACATTCTCAGATTGTACAGTGACTAACCTTTGACATGCTTGAATATGGTGCAGTAATTTTTTCTCATATTGAGTGCAGCAGTGTCATTTATGATCACTAGTGGTGCATGTGATATATTGTTTTAAGTTCATTTACTGCGCACTCTGTGCAAGGTTCATCATACATTTCTCTAGGAACTTGAAGTAAATTAGCTATTAATGGACATACGGAGCTGTTTTACCTTCAGTTCAAGAGTAATGGTCAGTGAAGGAATGTCTAATCTTTTGCAGTATGTTTAGGCTAAGCTGAAGCTCACTTTTAGATCATATTGCACTGACCTCGCATTTTGGTTTTTGGTGCTACTTAAAGTGTATTCATTTCTCTTTCTGTTGGTATCAGTAAGACAGTGTGTTGCATGGCAGCAGACAGCAGCTGAGCTCTCATGTTATCAGTCTTGGCCCATATGGCCTCACGTGTCAGTGTTCATTAAAGTGAAGAGTTGTAATGAAAGATAGGGAGGAATCAAGCATTGAATGTCTTAGGCTGACGGTCAGAATCAGATACTCTCTTTACAGGATTAACTTCTTCTGCACATCCAACCTTCCTAATGATCTCCCACTCAACACACAGATTCTTTGTGTTTATATGAGTTTATTACTGCCTGATTGGTTTGGTCAAGTACAGCACACAATCGTATCACACTATGTTCTAACTAGGTGTGATGCAACAAGTTTCTAGTGACAAGCAATTTGTCTGACCACACTAAGCATGAAATGGCTGTGTGATGTAATACAATCACATTATGAAGATGCATTTTAAAGTTAGGGATGTGCAAAACTGACTAGTTGGTGGTTTGCCTGAAAGACTAGTTGACTAATCTCTCTTAAGGGAACGCTGTATAATTTGGCTGTCTTCCCATACTTGTAATGAGAAGCAGTTATAAACCATCTGTTGTCAACAAAAGAAAAGTTTTAAGGGCTCCCTGCGTTTTTCTGTCTGAATAAAAGATTGATAGTTTTATCATTTGAAAATGAAGAAATATTGAACAAATATTGAACAAATTAACAGTAATTAATGTAAAAATTAAGACTACATAAATATAAGTATGTAGCATTTATTGTTTTACAGTGAAATATATTCTTCTCATTGTTATTATTATTATTATTTTATAGTCATATTATTATAGAGTATAATCTTAATTTTTGGGGGCAAAATTGTGCATCTATACAAACAAGCACAGACAACCTGCATTTTCAATCAGAATCACTTTTTTTAAATCACAATTACATTCAGATTAGATTCCCAAACTGTGCAGCCCTAGCATAACATAAAAAAAGATACATGTTCTATTGCTTGTTCTGGTTTGTGAGGACAAAATCTACATGGAAAAGTTTTCTTTTATTCAACTGAACTTTTTTTATTGTTACTTTGCTTTACACCTGATTAGCTGGGAATGTCATTAAAAATGTAGTTATAATTGATTACTGTGCACTCTAAACTGAATAGCGATGTTCAATCAAATCTATTTATTTAGCTAAGTCTGTTTGACATATCTTTGTGTTCGTTTTGTCTCTTTGTGTAAAAATGTAACGCTAGTAGTAACACCCTTTTCCTCAGCAGTTGAATCATTTATAAGATGGAGGGTAATCTCAGCCTAACCCATTCAGTCTGGTTCAGAGACACACGGGGCTAAAGATCACATGTAACATTAATAAATGAGCTTGTTGCTTAATCCCACAGGAGATTTTTGGATAATGGAACCCAAAAGGCAGTTTTTTTGGGTTGAAAAAATGGACTTATAAAATGAATAGACATGGAGAAGAATGTAAGAGCATAATGGGGGTGGAAAGAAAAAGGAAAGGCCTGTTGTCTGTGAATGCAAATATCAAATGTTTATGTATAATCCAACTCACTTGCCTGTTAGTACAGCGTCTGCTACAAAAGCAACTAACACCAGAATGATTTGTGTTGTGACCTTTGTTTAAAACAAATACCGTCTTTCTTTGCCAGCTTCATTAGCATGAGTCAAATGTAGTTCTTTGTACATCTCAGCCCATGATTTCAGTTGTGCCCTTGACATGTGTTCAGTCAGGCCAAGGCAGCGGGCCAGGGAGGAAGCTGAAAGATTCGAGTGTTGCTTTCGGTGGCGGTGGCTCTTCGTCTCTGATTCAGGAGGTCAGTAATCACTCCCACCCCCCCATTCCTCATTTCTGCTCTCTTTCTGCTTTGTTCAAATTGCAATCACACCCCCTTTTACTGGCCCCAGGCCTCCCTGTAACAACCCCTCCACCCAAACAGTAGTGACAGTCTGGAGAACTTACGCCTGTCTTGATGATAGCGTTAAAGACAAATACAATTCTTTTTTTCTGCCAGATGAAGCAATAGTGTGGAATCTTTGGGGCAGATCACCCAAATAAAAATGTGTTTTTTTGTTTGTTTGTTTGTTTTCCAATACAATAAAAGTCAGTGGTGTGCAGTGTGGTTCTAAACTATTTTGGCTTTCATTGTGAGAACAAAAAAACTAATTTAAGATATCTTCATAAGTCATACAAGTTTTGAACAACACAATGGTGAGTAAATTATGACAAAATGTTCATATTTGGGTGAACTAAACTGCTTACTAGTACTGTCAAAATTCACTTCTGTATTGTTTAGTTCTTGGCTTGATTCAGAGGTAGATGCTAAACACATGCATGAACGCAAACTTTTTCTTTAAACCATGTGAAAACACATAACGTAACCTGATTTGTTATGAGTGAAGAATTAATTCAGCTGCTAAAGCATCAACAGTCCACTTCTAAGACAAAGTAATGTCTGTCCTAACTCCAATGTTTGATACTATCAAGGCCCAATTTAATCCAGTGCTGAATTCATGAATAAATGCTGCTCAACTGACCAGCCAGTGCCCTATATAGTTCACAACCCACATGCAGCATAGAAGGCCTGCTTTGTTTTTAATGGCCAGCAATGAATTCAAGGGTCAATTAGAGCCTGAATTCCACAGGCATGTGACACAACATTCCCCACCTTCATGAAAGAAACCTCAATTACAGCAGACACTTTAATGCAGAAGACAGCTCTGTTTTAAAGCCGTTGATCATTTCACTCATTTAAGAAGGGCAATTTCAGTACTATTGCTATGGATGTCATTGACTTCCAACTGACTTCCACACCTCCATGCTAAAAGTTTTGCAGGTCAGTAAAAGAGTCCTCTGCTTGCTGGTGCCACGGCGGTGGAGAAACAGCGAACAATTAATAGTTTAAACAGAATCCGACGCCTCTGGATCCCAGGGATTGTTTATTTTACAGATTTTGCCTGCACCCGATTCCTTTCCTGCTGCTGTAAAGATGATTTATCAGGTCTGAAGGGAACTATGAAATATTTGAAATGAAAACAAGCTTGTGTTGCGTTTTGCTCTGAGGGTTTGTTTTTTCCGTCTGGTTCAGTTGTTAAAGAAGGCCGTAACCTAAAATATTTCCACTCTAAAATAAAAAGCAACACAGCCATTGAAATGTGGTTTGTGAAGAAATGTGAAGAAACAAGAGTGGCGGGGGTATTTTTAAATTTATCTTAAATGTCTGTAGTTTAAATTTTTTATTTTTTTTTTTACTTTATTCCTCAAGCACATATCCTCAGAAGCAGGAAGGTTTGATTTCCTCCAGTTTGCCGGTCGTAGTGAATGCATTGTTTCACGTGCTGTTTAAAAAAGAAAAGCATTTGCAAGGTCATTTGTTATGTTTTCATAATAAATAAACCAGAAATAAGTTTATGCTGTTCATAAAAGTTGTTAGTTCTGATTTTTCATATTTTGATGAAGTTTAAGAATTACAATAAATTTTATTTTTAGGTGTTTTTCAGATTGGAATATACAAGTGTTTAATGATTATTTTAGTGTAAACTCTGTTTAAAGAATATGTCATTATCACTGAATGCAGGTTCTCAGTGATTTATTCAATAAGATTCGAAAATATCTATTTCTAAACAGTGAGATGCATTTATCACCCTATAAATATATGGTATCGTAGAAAACATGTCTGTATTTAAGAAATGTCAATATTTTCTACTGTACAGCATCAAAGACTAAGTTACTCCAGCAGGAAATCAAGGAACATAAATGGATTCTAAGGAAATAATGATTTTTGCTGCTTTTTATGTGAATTATGGTAACAACAGACTGTGCTGAACCAATCAAATGCCAAATGTCAGCAGAGCAAAAAGAAAATGGACTCTGACCTTGAGTGCACAATAAAGTAAAGAGCAGAGGCTGCTTTTGTCCACGCCATTTGTGGACGATTTCAATATTGTGCAAGAGTTTTAAGTAAGAGTACCGGGATCCTCTGATAGCATCTATTGAATGTTTGTATGCCTGTGTTTACCAATCACACTTCTTTTTGTGTTTCGCTCCGAACTCAGTTCCATTCATTTGTGTTAAATAACAGCACTTCCACAGAAGAAGGGACAGCTTGAAATGGATTTCTTCCGTAGATATGGATTTGATATTTTTTCCTATGTGAACTAGGGCTGTGCGATTAATCGAAATCGTCATAAAATCGCGATTTGAGCTTGCGCGATTTCTAAATCGCTTTATAGCACGATTTTCCGCGCCCCCGACCTCCCGCAGTATGCTATCCGAACCAATCAGAATGCAGCGCGCCTAAATGGAGCACGAGAACAGAACAGACCGGGCGGGCATACAAACGTAACCCCAGGTTCACACACTACGTCTGATGTGCGTATTTTGTCCGCGCCCATATTAACGGATCAGAGCGTTCACACTGCACGCAATTGCGCTCCGGCAGTGCGCTCCAGGAGCGGTGCGTCTGCAACAGTCATGCTGCGATC